TTAGGCGTGGTGGCTCGTTAATTACCACAACCTCCGCCATGAAGTTTTCGTGTACTAATTAATTATGAACTACTTTTCGTGACGATTCCGAACAAATTGTTTCTTTAATAGTTCGTGAGTTTTGCAATATTTAAAAAGTAGTATGCATAGTTTAGCTTATGCCAATTGTTTTACGTCATTATGGGCGTGAATAAAGAAATTATTTTACTTTTTAAATACTCTAGTTGAATAACATATGGGACCCGGAAAATATTTATCTACTCAAATTATAGTCTTAGTTTACATACCTTTTATTTTTAACTACACAAAGTATATATGATACTCGTGGACAAATTTTTTGACAGAACTTCTTAAAAAAAACTAGATATAACATAGAACGATAACAAAATGTAAGAGAAATCAAAATTCGACACAGATTGTTTAATAACTTTCAATAGTTATTACAGAAATTTGAAAAATTAAGCTAATTCTAATTAGACAATTTGTACCCAAAAAATCAACAACATTAATCATTGAAACAATACGACAAACTTGCAAAGTTGAAATATTAAAGTTGGCTAGTAACATTACATTAAAAACTTTAAAATATCAGTTTGTGTTAAACTCTTAATATGAAACAGCAATGCTTATAAGAGTGCTGCACAAATAATTTAAAAAAACAAAATTGTGTTTCAACCTCAATAATAATATAAGTAACATCACGATCATTAATCAAAGTATATATTGCTAAATTCAAAAATTAAGTTTAATATTTTTCATTTTTATGATTATCAAATATTATTTTCGATGCGAAGCTGAGAAAGTTTTAATTTTACTGATGTGTTTTTTTGTGTCTTTTACCGCTTTTTCTCAGCTCTCGCCGAACCGATTTCTTTCAACGATACGTCAAAATATCACAAATCGTATCTAGTCGAAAACATTACACTCAAAAATTGAAAAATTTTCACTTGTTTCCCGTAAATAGGAGAAATCTTAAAAAAAAATTACAAATATAAATATTGGTAATTTTCGACATTTTTTTTTTTCAATGTCTTTTACTGAAAACTGCCATAACTTTTTGAAAAACCGATAAATACAAACAATTTGTTTTCTAAATACATTACCTACTATTTGGTATACTTTTTTTTTTTGAAAATCTTACTCTTCACCTGCCCACAGAGGGGATTCAAAATGTCAACTTTTCCTAAAAAGATTAACTTTTTAACTTAACTTTAGAAAGTATTCCGGAAATACTGACACTTTTATATATACCTTAAATTAAAGCTTATGTAATATACTTAACTATGAAAAAAAAAATATTTCGAACTTAATTTTATTGTTATGGTAAAAATGGCTACTGTATTAAAAAATATACTAATTTTGTGCTGAAATTCTCGAGTTTTATATTTTTATTTTTAACTTTATATTTCTATAACTTTTTGAAAAATGTATGGATCAATATAATTTTTTTTAGAATACTATTTATATACCTTCTTTATTTGACATCTTTTATTTTTAAATCGGACCATTTCCCTTAATATTTATACTTCCCATTTAGACCAAAACTTTAAACATGCATACAGAAACTAGTAATTTTTAAACTTAATTTTTGAAAATGTTCCGGAAATCTGACATATATATATATATATATATCTAAAATAAAATTTCATGAATTATACTTTAATATGAATAATATAAATAAAATAATATATAAATATTTAATATGACCAGTAAAAATTTTACCTCCAGACTTGTCATGATGGTGGAAATGACTACCGTATTCAAAAATATGCTATTTTTTTAATTCTCGGTTTTGTATTTTATTTAAAATTTGTCTTTATTATTTAAAAAAATTTTAATTACCATATAAAGGATTTTGAATTAGAAAAAAATGTTTAACTCATTTGATTTTTATCTCATTTAGATTCAATCATTTCAATGAATATCTAATACCCTATCAGAATAATCTTTCCTTGTTTGAAGAAATTTCTTATTCATATTAAAATTATTTTACTATGTGATTATTTTTGTGGTTCTCATTTATTTTCTCAAATCTCGCTTGACTAACTTTTTTGAGCAATACATTAAATGATCTATTTAAAAATATTACCCTCAAAAATTGAAATGAAAAATCCCCCTCAAATAAAAAGTCAACCCAGTTTCTCCATACACACAATGAATATCATTAATTTCTAATATTTTTAAAGTATTTATTGCCGAACTAGGTTTGATATGATAATAGGTTTCAACTACAAATTTAATTACTTTGTAAAAAAGTAAAATAAGTGTACTTTTTAATTTATTAATTTTTTTACTCTATTTGTGTGCGCTACAATCAGTCTATAAAATTTCAAATTTCTTTGTAACATTTTGCTATAAAAACATTCGCCAAAAAAAATATGATTTTTAGTTTCACCTAAATTTAACAATGATTTTTTTTATTACAATAAAATTTTATAATACACTCAATTGAGTAGATTTTTTAAAAACTTTATGTTTGGCGTTTTTAGTAAATTATTAAAATTAATTAAGTTCTGAATATTTCAATTGTAAAATCTTTTTAAACACTAATAGATACTCAGAAATAATTACTATGATTTCTGTTTAAGTGATCTATTACAATAGAAATGCAAAAATAATATTGAGCTTTTCTGATAAAATTACAGTAAATAGTAATTATAAAATTTTCTGACCGCATATTAATCCTAAAATTACCATTTTTTTACTTCTCGTACAAATTTCTATTTAATGATGTAAATTTCAAACTTTCAATATGATCTAAAAGTCATGGTAACAAATTCATCTTTTTTTTATTATAAACTTTCACAAAAATCAACTCTAAAGGACTAAAAAAATAGGTTAAAAATGTCATTTTTCACTGATTATTTTTAATATATTAAAAACAAAATTAGTAATAATTAAAAAAACATTTTTTTCTGTTTTTAATTATTCTTTATATGTAAATACTCCTTTTTTAATAACTAGTAATAATATCAACATTTAAAAATGATAAAAAAAGTCTAATTTCAGATTTAAAAACAGTGTAAATAATTGATTTAGAAAAGTACATTTTTAATTCTGATAAAAGTTCCTTGTAGGTCAACGTAATGTTGTAAGTAAAAAAAAAAAATGTTTATAAAGTATTGCATCTAACCGATTAATTTTTATACTTGTTTGTTATAGAAGTGAAAAATTATACTACTTAATTATTAGGAATAATAAAGGAAATAAGAATTCATTTTGCTTTTGAAATAGTTCATCAATTTCTTAAAATTAAACAATATCTACAGATTTGCATCGAAGCGTTTCTTATGACAATGATTAAAATCACTGTCAGATATCATCTACATTTGACCTAACTAAGCCACATCAATACTGTGCCCCGACCCAACTGCACTACCGTTTTTTTTATTTTCCTACAAATTGCAACATTTAATGAGTAAGAAATCATAAAATATGACATTATTCAAAAAAGATACACAGTCTAAAATTTAAATTTAACTCCTGACAATATTAACGATATTAGATACGTCTCCTTTTGTTAGTGTCGCGATATCTCAAGGAAAGAAAAGCAAATAAAATTAAAAACTAATTTTCAAATAGATAATCTCAGATTATTTCAGCACATGCTTACAGTTTTAAAAAAATCACACTAAAAATTCAGTTCAACATTTTTAACGCTTATATGCTGTGTAATTTCTTTAGAATAATAGCTCTCATTTTTTGGTAAATAAGTGATTTATAAAAACATACAAATTAATATTTGATTTATTTTTATAAACTATGGTAAATATCAAGTTTAAAATAAGAAAAAAAATGTTTCTATGAGTAGATTTTAAGGGTTATTTTCAAAAGTAAATGGGAACATATAATTTTTTTTAAATTATGTAATGGGGTAGGATTTTAATTGAATTATGTCAAGTCGATAACAAGTTTTGTATTATTACTTTTTGAGATAATATAATTTTTAGATATTAGTGAGTGGAACGCGCAAACTAGAAGATAAAATTTTTAATTGTTTATATTTAAAAATGTAATCATACAAATAATATTGATTAAATATAATTTTATGATGTACTTGCCTATACAACAAGGAGTTCTGGATACTTCTTAACTTCCAATACTATTTTAGAATTACATCTAAAATTGTTCAGGCGCTATTAAAGACATGTGAAAAGTTGATTAACTTAATTTGGAATAAACTAAGATTAAAGTTTTAATCCATATTTATAATTACTTTTATATTAAAATAAAATTACATGAAAACCCTTTTAAAATGTAAATAAAGTAATTAATAATCGGTCTTAAAACGATAACAAACGCTTTCTCTGTGTTTCGAACTAATGTTTTAAGGAAATATTTGTTTTAAGTATTTTTTTACAATGAGTCTTAAACTGGGCTTGTCAAAACAGATTTTCAAAAAGTATATACTCCAAGATGATTTTTTCTTTGTGATATATTTAACATTAAATTACGTTGGCTTCGTTTTTCTCACTGTTTCTAAACTATTACACCAGCTCTATTTCTGACGAGAAAAATGTTAAATAACATTTACGCATTTGATTTTTTAAGTCGAGTCATAAAAACACATTCTTTTATGGATCTGTTCAGAATCATCATGGAAACACCGTTACCTGTCGCGCTGCAGGGATTTAGACAGTGATGAGCGTCCATATCATCGCTGTAGTTTAAGTGAGGTTTTCCATTCCAGTACTTTAACATAATAGGGGTATCCACAGGGTTATTGTATCTAAGAATTTCCATAAACACAATACATTCAGGTATACTTTTTTTCCGACGTTTGGGATGCATTTTACGTGTAATGGCAAAAGCTATTGGGGAAACTGTAATTTTTTTTATTGCTTCGTCATCGTTTCGCTACTCAAAAAAATATACGAGAAAACATTAGGTACTGCAAACTAATGTATATGTATATTTTGTATGTTTATTTTATGTAAAAAAAAATCAAATGAATAAACGAGATCGACTTAATGGAATTTAAATTAATCATTCTGATAATATATAGCACCATGTTGTATAATTAATACTACCATTAGTATGTAAAAAACCGGAAAGCAATATTACATTTTATGGTAAATACTATAGACATGAAATCCTTATGCTGTTTCCGAACAGCCGGTATGCTTAAAGTGAACATATGTCCTATAGATTAGTTAAGCAAATTTACTCGATTATTTTCATTTTTAATTTGTATAAAAAATAACGCAATTTATTATTGATTAAAATGAATTTTACGAAAGATAAAATATAACTGATTCAGAATGTTAACGAGTTAATTCTAACTGTGAAGCGTTGATAATCTGAGTCTGGTTTTTCATTTATCGCCCACACTTGTAGGTACGAGCTGTCAGCTAAAATTTTGGTAACTGCTGGCAACTTATTTCTCGACTGTAATAAAACTTTGTGCCCTTCGGCTGACAAACCCATACTTGGAATCCACCTGTAAACAAATTATGTCACGAAGCAATTTATTGATTGCATATGTTATTTTAGATAAGCTATTTTATATTGAAGATAAGTTTTCCAAAAATATAAAATGTTCACCTTAAAATTGTTTAGATAAACAAAACTTGCCTGACAGCTGCGAAATCTCTGGCGTATACGTAGTTTATGCCGCCGTAAATGTCCACATAGAGTCCTTTAGAAGTACCTAATTTTTCACCCAAACACCGAGCCTTTAATTGACCAAAAAAATCGTCACTCTAGAAAAAAAAACATATAAATGTATTATCAACTACAAAGATTGTTAATCAAATTTTTACATAGCAAAATCAATCATAACAAGTGTAATACGCACAAAATGTCGAGTATTTTAAACTAAACCATTTCAAAAACAATTGCACTAAATTCTATCCGAATATCGAGAAAATTGAATTTTAAACGAATAACACCTGGCAATTTTCACTGTTATGTAATCCATAAAATATAAGACTGTGGAAAAAGTGGAGACCTCTAATTGCATTGGTCTGTATAGTTAAGGTTATTGATTGTTTACTTTGGCACTTCTGGTGAAGTAATCTTCTTTCTACCTATTCTACATTTTCCAGAAAAGTATCTCGTTGAAAAGTTCTTGCTCGGTAAATACGCAATTTGAACTTTTCTGAATCGAAAACTACAAATACGTGAAATAATACTTTATGTTCCAATAATATATATTAATGATAATACTTCAGAAAATTCTCTAATTAATGTTCACCACAACAGACTAGATTGATTTTTATATTAATTTTTCCAGAAAAACAACTTATTGTTTTTTAATACACTTTTGTTTGCTAATTAAAAACTACTGCGATCGTTTACAAATACTTTGAGTTTTTGGTGATTTCTATGTTACTTATTAAAAGATTAAACTTGGATCTCAGCATAGCAAACATGACGNACACCGAGCCTTTAATTGACCAAAAAAATCGTCACTCTAGAAAAAAAAAACATATAAATGTATTATCAACTACAAAGATTGTTAATCAAATTTTTACATAGCAAAATCAATCATAACAAGTGTAATACGCACAAAATGTCGAGTATTTTAAACTAAACCATTTCAAAAACAATTGCACTAAATTCTATCCGAATATCGAGAAAATTGAATTTTAAACGAATAACACCTGGCAATTTTCACTGTTATGTAATCCATAAAATATAAGACTGTGGAAAAAGTGGAGACCTCTAATTGCATTGGTCTGTATAGTTAAGGTTATTGATTGTTTACTTTGGCACTTCTGGTGAAGTAATCTTCTTTCTACCTATTCTACATTTTCCAGAAAAGTATCTCGTTGAAAAGTTCTTGCTCGGTAAATACGCAATTTGAACTTTTCTGAATCGAAAACTACAAATACGTGAAATAATACTTTATGTTCCAATAATATATATTAATGATAATACTTCAGAAAATTCTCTAATTAATGTTCACCACAACAGACTAGATTGATTTTTATATTANAATGTTCACCACAACAGACTAGGTTGATTTTTATATTAATTTTTCCAGATAAACAACTTATTGTTTTTTAATGCACTTTTGTTTGCTAATTAAAAACTACTGCGATCATTTACAAATACTTTGAGTTTTTGGTGATTTCTATGTTACTTATTAAAAGATTAAACTTGGATCTCAGCATAGCAAACATGACGTTTGAAATATAGAGACACGTTAAATTGTACACTTTAAATTAAGGAATACTTCTCTTTTACTCTCCGATAGTTTTAAATCTAATAACATTTGTCTAACGAACACACATACATCAATTATTAAGTTAGTTTTATTTTTTAAGTTTAACCCTTAATCGATCCATCCGTTTCATTATTAAAAAGTAATTCACTCGAAATGAAACTTTTTAAGTTAGTATGAGGCTATAAAGTTCAAAGTACCAATATACGATTATTATAGTAGTGTGAAATTAGGAATGTCGATTTGCCGGGACTCTGCTATGGGCTCATAAAAGGATTTGTAGGTGTATTGTTAGAATCTAATTCGCGTTGATAATAAAATATTTCAATTACAAGGGATTGAACATTATTTTCTTACCTGAATAGAGGGTTTCATATAAGAGGTTAAATTCCTAAGATCTCGCAGAGGAACTGAGTACATGTTATTGGACTGAGTTGACGTAAAATAAATAAGTAACTGGAACTTAGAGATGGCCAAGAATTCAGAAGGCACATCCGTTTCTTCGGCACAGTTTAGGGCAACTCTGTGCCAACTTCCTTCTCCCGGGTCGAACACTGTAATGTATCCACCTAACTTGCTGCCCATAAACACTCTAGTTTCCCCTTTGAGTGGTCTGGCATCTACCACCAAAGTAGACACGTCTGAACCGTTAACACCTAATAATTCAGTTTGTTGAACCTGGTTAAAAATTTAAATACTTATGCACGATCAAATTATGTCTCCATTTTAAAAAGAGTATTTGCGCTAAACATAAATTTTGATTATAATTTGCTTTTTATATACGTTTTTAGAGTAGTGTAAATACTGATAAAATAGAGGAGGCTGTTATTTCTATTCATAAAACAAGATCAATCGTGTAAGCAAGTTTTTAACATTATTTTAAAACCATCATATTTTTATTTTTATTTTTATGGCTAACACTTAGAAAACAAATATTGATTTAAAAATATTTCTTTTTTTTTTTTAAGCAAATATAAATTAATTCAACACAATTTTTTGATATTCTTGTAATTAATTTTTTTTTTATTAAAATTTGANATTAACACCTAATAATTCAGTTTGTTGAACCTGGTTAAAAATTTAAATACTTATGCACGATCAAATTATGTCTCCATTGTAAAAAGAGTATTTGCACTAAACATAAATTTTGATTATAATTTGCTTTTTATATACGTTTTTAGAGTAGTGTAAATACTGATAAAATAGAGGAGGCTTTTATTTCTATTCATAAAACAAGATCAATCGTGTAAGCAAGTTTTTAACATTATTTTAAAACCATCATATTTTTATTTTTATTTTTATGGCTAACACTTAGAAAACAATTATTGATTTAAAAATATTTCTTTTTTTTTTTTAAGCAAATATAAATTAATTCAACACAATTTTTTGATATTCTTGTAATTAATTTTTTTTTTATTAAAATTTGAATATTTGAATATTTCCAAATATAAATTGTGATTTCCAAATTCAATGAATTTTTTCTCATTTATAATTAAATATGTTTCTAATTAAAATTTTATTGAGCAAACAAAGTGTATGAAAAATGTCAATAAAGCAAAATTAAAATATATTAAATCAGAATATTTTTCAAATAAAACATAGTTTACACTAGACACTAAGACTGACAAAAAGAGTGTATGAATTTTATTACCCCGGTAAATTAAGTTGAAGAGTAAAAAGAAATACTTTTTCATTAAAAAATAATAACAATAATAGTACAACAAAATTGTTTTTATGGTGGTCTAATATTTCTACTGTCAGATACGTCGAACACGTTAATTTTTACTTTAATTTTTACCGTCTTATATACTTTTAAATCGTATATTACGATTTTAGGATAACATTCTTCATATCCAGCATCCAAAACATACAAATGGCTTCTAATCTTGTCCACATCAAGAGCAACCGCCGATTGAATGTGGTGACAATAATGAAGTTTCTTTAACAAAAAAAAGTATACAAGTTTTACAGTGGCAGTAAACATTTAATAATTAAATTATTGGTAAAGATGGTTGTATTTTAATTTTTCTTATAAAATTGAATGTTAGACGTCATCAACATCAAGTACTAATGGTATTGTATATCTTTTTGCCAGATGGTTCGAATTCCCAACTTAATCTATCATGTCGGCACTAGTTTTGACCCTAACTTTGTATATATAGTGGTCTAGTCGGTTGGGAAACTTTATAAGCTAATTAAATGTACAAGGGTGTAATGTTCAAAAATCAACTCGACCACTAAAATAATTCCTTTAGAATATAAATTAATACAACAAAAGTAAGACATATGAAGCTTCTAATAATTATATTGTGAACTGCATTGATAATAAAATCGATAGTAAAAAACTATGTCTTCGATTAATACGCGCCTCAAAAACCAACGGATTAAACAATACACATTAGTAAATTGTGTTGTTCAAGACGACAACTTCACGGCGCTGGCAATAAATAGTAGAGTTGTTTTTTTATTCAACTTCCCAACATACTTTATACGTAAGATGATAAGTGTATCCAAAGTCAACTTAGCGGGTTAGTAAATAATCATTGGTATATTTATGACAAGTAATATATAAAACCTGTAGTCAGTTAAGTCAAGCAGTCAGTCAAGTGGTATTTCAATGTATCAAAACGCTCTATGCTCCGAGTGGTAAGTACAATTTATCTTTAGCAAAAACACATTTTCATAATATTTTTATGAAAATAGAAGTTTATTATCCTTTGTTTGTATAAAATCCAGAATCAACGTGTACAGTTGAAACAAAAACACAGAAAAGTACCACAGAAACGAGAAAGTAGAGTATCACATCGAAAAAGCACAATTTATAGTTAAATAAAATTGTTTGAATTTTTATGATTCACGATCATGAAAACAAAATAATTTTTTTTATATTGAATTCCTCCTAAACATAAATTATAACTGCAGGTGTGTACCACGATTTTTTAGTGTAGGATGCGCGACATCATGTATAAATGTGTACCCATTATGGTTCTTAATCGTTAGAAACATATTTCCCGACTATTTTGACGCATCTCGAGGCAATAAAACACTTTTAAGAAGTATAGTGACAATGTACGCTTGATCTGTAAATAAATTACTTAAAAAGTTGTATTTTATAAAAACGAATATACTTTAATCAAATTTATTCTTAGAGTTCATAAAACTTTTAAATATGCGTTTTTTAAATAATTTTGGTTTGACTTTTACAAAACTAGTTTAAAGAAACAATATTTTACTGTATAATTTATCTATATTAATTTTAATAAATTTGAATTTTTTAAATAGAAATATTGTTAATTTATTTTGCAGTAAAATAAACATACCAAATAAACTATTCTACTTTTCTATTATTTTATCTCGATTCTATTATTATTATTATTTATTTATTTTTACGAATATATTATTTTTATTTGCTCACTAAATAATATAATTTTAAGTTGATATCAATATATAGATACGCCATTTTAGTTAATATACTCTAGAAAAAAGTTTTATAGAAAATAATGATGAGTATATAATAATGTTTTTCCTTTTACTTAGACAGTCGATTGTTTATAATAAAAACATTCATCAAAGTAGTTTTGTTTACAATATCTCAAAGATTTGTTGTGTTTTGGATNACATTCATCAAAGTTGTTTTGTTTACAATATCTCAAAGATTTGTTGTGTTTTGGATATTTGCCATATCTTACATTTCAAATATGCTCTAAACAAAATTTAATATACATTTTGAGATTCGTTCACACATAAGTAAATTGTCTATTCCAACATTTTATGCAATGTAGCAAATAGTATCTCAATTTCCACATAGTATTATTGTGATGCCATTTATCCACCTACTATTCAGGTAGATTTTTTAAGCCACCCACATTACAACAAAGTATTTTTTTTAATTATTCAATAGATGATTATTAAGAAACACGGCCAAACTTGCCAAGTAAAAGTTCATTTTACTAAATGTGTCACAAGTTTAAATACGACCTGGGCACTAGAAACTTTTGAATCGATTGTAAGTCACTCGCTACAAATACTAGTCTCTGCATTGAATTTGATTAGATTCTCAAAATAAAACCTAATTTACTTTTAAAAAGAATACACTTGTCTTATATACTATTATGGTTGTGTTTTTTTAAATGTATAAAAGAAAATTAAACCGTGTAATATTATTTTGAGTATAGTGGCAAATGTTCTCGGAAAAAGAGTTTTCTAATATAAAAGCAGTCTTTATGCACACGTGAGCATTGAAACGATTTTTCTTGGGCAACTGAAATAATGATGTTGAATCAAAAATAAAAAGCCAAGTGTAATTTTATATAGTTAAACGATACTCGAAATTATAAAAAATGAAAAATTATCCTGTCCAATGTGTTAGTATTTTGAAGACATATGGATCACTTGATAAATTAAAAATTATTTTTCGCGGCACTATTTTCACGTCCAAATTGTACCAAACTAAATGGAATACAAATCGGATATTGATTCGAAAATATTATATAAACTATTGAAAACTTGTGGAGGCTGTTCTATAGATATGACTGAAATTGGATGTGTAGAGGTACTGACAAAAGTCAGTCAGGTCAATACAATAAATTATTACGCAGTCTGCCACACCAATAATCAATAATAATAGCAAATACACAGTAAACTATAATGAGATTGGGTTCGGGTCACGGACGGCAAGAAGACCATCTGTCAGTACGATTTGAATTTTGAAGGTCGTGGGGATGGCATCATCATAAAGTCATACTTTCTGCTCATAAACACTGAACAGCGACTAAGCGTAGGCAGTGTCGAGTAGATGTTACAACACGAAAGCGTATTGATAAGCTTCGACGTCGCATTTACTATGAATGAAAACAACCCGAACCCGTTTCCTCGTCAGAGCTGTATGGATAAGGTCGTCCCGCCGGTCGCGTTACACAAATATTTTTATAAAGAAATAATCACTTGAAACACTGGAACAGATACTCCATTCTATTCGGTGGCGGTGCCCATAAAATCCGCCTCCGATTTTTCATACCTTACCTTTACAGACGCCAACTGGCAATAATAACTTAAAGTTTCAACTCCACAACGGTCATCATTAGAGCACCGAAGAAACGTAATTTCCAATCGCTCCGTACAATGATCGCAGCGGTCGTGATCGGCGATCAGGGAAAGGCGCCGTGCGAAAAACGTCAAACTCGAATCGAACCACTTTCACGTTGACCTTTTGCACTTATCAACCCGTCGTTATTATAATCGTAACGTGCGCTATTATCTTAAGGTCCGACTACAATACCGTCCGGCGCACGCCATTGCACCATTATAGAGACAACCGAAAAAAAATTTGCTCTTTTCAGGATTCTATGGGTCACGCATATATTATCCGACACACGTGTGAACAATGCACAATAAGTGAACGAGAAAACAAAAGTGATCAAAACGTGTTTGGAAACAATGGGGTTAACTTGTTTTTCGATAAACGCCGTAACCGCCCCACTCGTTTAATTCTCCACAGACGGTCACCGACGTGAAAGTCGCTGCTAATCCATTTTCGGTCGCTGAATAAGAATGAAATAATAATTTACCCCCCGGAACCGTTTACGCTAGCGATGCGCGGAACACGTCAAGAGAACTTGTTGTACGCGCCACAATATCCGTTTAGGCTACCTGCGAACCGTCGGAATGGGAAACTGCGAATAAAAGCTGTACCAATTACAAAGTAACGAGATTCACTCGATTTCCAACTACAGAAAACAATTAAACATAACAAGTAAACGATTCCTCTCCCACGCATTTCGTTTTAATTAAATTTATACGCCCCATTTTCACGAGTTTCCAAGTTGGCAACATTAAAAACCGGCTGGCCATCACACTTTCAGAATGCTGTAAACGTTTATTACACCCAGCGATTCATCAGCCACACATTACCGTACGTTTAACTATAAATCTTCAAGATTTATAACTATATTTCTGAATATTTGTATACCTATGAAAAACAAGTAGAGCTAATTAACGTTATTCAATAGCCGAGGGCTATTCGTGTAGGTAACTTAAAATATTTTTCGAATATTTACAAACTCAATCGATACACAAGTTTATGTTATTTGATATAATGGTTTCAAATTATTATTGACTAAAATTGCGTTGAATTTGACTTTAATAAATTCACTTTGGAACATGTGTCCAATTTTCAATATATGTATATATTGAAATGAAAACGAATCTAGAAAAATAGTCGTACAGAAATTATTTTTCTACACGTGATTGTCTCATATGTCTATTAAACGAATCAGGTTATATTTTAAGGTACCATTAAGCATTGTAATCGTTCAAGATTCCTTAGTTTCACCAGACCTTCGACATACACATGCAAATAATGACGATAATATTATTGTAAAAAAGTATCAATGGTAATTATTGTGATGATAGGAGTCAGAAACATAAGATTAAAATCTACTTAACTTGTAATTTAGCAAGTCGTAGTCAACGAAAACATTGATGGCTGATTTGTCAGATCTTAAAAACAACAGAGTGAGAGAGAGAGTGAAAATATTGTTAAATAAACGTATCGCATGTGCGCTCATTATGTTCCCCGTGCAGAAGTTTATGTATCACGATTAAGAGACGCGTTAAGTGACTTTCGAAAACAAGCACAAAGAAATTGTATAATAATAAATTATCATACCAACTCGTTAACATGGTTTGGTATCTGATAGAACCGCAGTCGTGTGTCGGCCCCTTACATTTCATATAAAATTACAATCCCTATATCGTTTTCACGTGCAACACCAACATCTTTTTTTTATATCCATTTGCATTCATCTTTTTATTAATTCTTAAAAAAAAAAAATAACAATAACAATCATCTCCCTAAACCGTCCAGAAGGTTTTTCAAAAACATTTCGCGCAACCACACAAGCAGAGTGATTTTAGTTTTGTAAAATCTGAACAAAATAT